GAACCCCTTACTCTATCCCCTCATGGTATGCCCCACGATGATCTCATCCCTTTTACACAAAAGAGCTTGGAGGCTCGTTCCCCAGGGGGGGAACCAAAGAGCCTCTCTGCGATTACGTGCATGCACAAGATTGTGTGTGTTTGTGCGTGATGCTGGACAACAGCGAGTGCTGTGTCCGTCTCGGTTACTTCAGCAGGAGCCCTGCCATGCACATCCACTCACAGCTTGCCTGAAACAGCTGCTGAGCCACGCTGTGTCACACTCTGCAGCACCAGAGCCTGCTTCAAGTGGCACTCTGTAGTTCTGGGCTTTGGATGATCTGAAGAGCAAAGTGGCCCTCTCTGCCACCTGTCATCACAGTGTGCTGTCAGTGGCTGAGGCCAGACTGAGTATAAGGTGCCAGTGAGGTGATGAAACCGCAACTTTACAAGGAGACAACCACAGGAGGGGGAGAGAAAAAAAGATGTGGAATGCTGCTTTTAGGGCAGATAAAGGAAAGCCGGTAGAGCTGATGTATGATTGCATTCATACGGCGTGAGCTGGAGTATGCACGCGCATACATAGTTGGCTGTTAAAGGGAGGTCTAGAAATACCTCACTCTGCTCATTAATCTCAACAGCACGCTGTAATGAACCTAAAAGCCAGACTTAACAGAAGTGATCCACATCAGCCTTCAAGTAATTACGACAGTAAGGAAAGTCTTTCAGAAATGTTCCGACAAAGGTATCTTCAAGTGCACTTGCAAGAAATGCCTCTTACCATTCAATATTTGCTGTTCAGCGTGTGTGTGAGATAGGTGGAGTCTGTGTGATAGCTCGGCATTATCAAATCCATATGCTAACAATACCTCCCTCTCTCTGTAGTGCTTGAATAAAGCCGAAGACCTGCCGTGAACTCTTGTTTCTGGACCGTGTTTGTTTAACCCTGGCAGCTGCTTTTTTTACACATAAATGTCTACATAAAGTTCAATTTCATTTAAGCACAGACGGCCGTTGTCAACAAGCTTCTCAGAATAGGCATCTGGTTGGCAAATCACACTGATGACAAACAGAACGGATGATGCTGCTTGTTGTTGCTGCTGCTTCAGGCTATTTGAATTTGAGCTTTTGGGCATCAGCTCTAACTTAAGTTATTAAAAAAAACACCTCTATATTTCACAATTTTACAGGTTTAAGCAAGGTGTGTCTCCCACTTGTAACAGATTATTACATATTTACATATATATTAAAAAATGAACTGAATCCCTGCTGTTTCAGCACTATGACAAACACCCATATTGTCTGCTCCCTCCTAGTATGTTAACTCTAAATCTTGAACTCTAAGCAGTCCAACACTTTCAGAGATAGCATCAGAGCTAACGCTAAAGGCAGTCAGGAGTGACGTGGAATGAATTCTAATGAGCGGAGCAGAAAATTTTCCACTTTTCTTCCTGGATCACCGTGGCTCTCTAGTTACACTGTGTGAAGCAGGTGGGGTTGTTTTTTTTTCGTTTTTAAGAAAGCAAGGCACTTTACTGAAACCTGTCAAAAGCAGCATTTAGACCACACATTCCCTCAAAAATATGACTTTTTACAGTTAAAATCCGCTTGGGTAGATGCAAGGAGCGAAGGCAGGCTTAGCAGAAACGTCACAAGATTGTCTCCCTCCTGAAGCGTGACAAGCCGGTGGACACAGAGCATTCTTTCCACTGTAAGGAGACGGGAGAGAGAAGGCAAACTCATTGCTCGTACTAACTAGCTGGGTCTACACCGACTCAGAGGGAGAGCTACTGAAAGAAAACAACAGACATGCTGGCACACCACAGCAGAGTACAAGGGTCAGAGGAGGGAAGCAGGTTACCTGAGAGGGAAGAGGAGCGGATTACAAGTGCCTTCCTGCTGCTCTTTGGCTACAAACAACTATGTTGAGTTTGGTTTAACTTAAGAGGTGCAAACAGGCAGCTTAACAGAACGCACAGTGCTTCTTCGGGTACACATTGGCTCCAAAGAGACAAGAAACCACGATCTGTCCGCTAATTGTGTAGAAACACCTTGAGAAGAAAAAAAAAAAAAAAGTGTGACTGTAAATGAAATGGTAAGCCTGCAAAAGCGTCCTTGATTCAGATATTACAGCATTGCTGGCACTAACCTCTGAGCTCTTCATGGAAGAGAACTTTCTTTACACAAGCACAAATATTACACAGTGAATGGTTTATAC